CTGGAGAGAGGAAACTGGGCAAGTTAGGCCCCCACCTAAGTTAAGTTAGGCTCCTGCTTTCCCAGGGAGATAGGGAGATTGGGGTATGCCATCTTTCTCAACGCTTGCCTTCACAGAGATGCCTCCCAGGTGCTAGTTCTTCAAATTGGCAAAAACTTTTAAAAGGCCAGGATTGGTGACAGGCACCCAAAATACTAGTGATTAGGAAGGCTGAGTGGGAGGATGGCAAGTTTGAGGCCAGACTAGGTAATTTAGCGAGATGTTTCAAAATTTACAAAGATAAAGCTACCAAGGCCTGGGAATGTAGTACAGTGATACAGACCCCCAGATTCAATCCCTACTACAGGGGGAAAAACCCTTTTTTAAAAAAATATCAAAGGGGCAGAAAAAGAGGAAGAATCAACAGTTAATTACAAGTTTTATTTTTAAACAATGCTCTAAGAAGGGAGGAGGTAATTCTTCTCTGCTGTTTTTTCCATCAGGAGGAATTATCATTGTTCTTTTTTTTTTTGGTTTAGTTTTCCTATTCTCTAGAAGTCTTCAGTGTTCCTTTCTAGCAGTTCCTGGGCTCCTAGCTCAGAGAGCCCCAGAGAGTCAATGAGGAAAAGTACTAACTGACTGCTAGCAGTCTCCCAGATGAACCACGGGTTCCTTTGAGGTCAGTGACTATCTTTAAGTCAAGGTGCTTAGCCCTAAAAAGTGCTCAAAATACTTACTGAATAAATGAATACAACCTACTAGTAAATGCTCCAACAGTTCCTTCACTTCCTTCTGTAGTTAATTCTGGAACAGCAATCTTAGCAGGCTACTCTTAGGATAGAGACTTAGACAGGTGCATGCAGCTATCCAGACATGAAGGTTCCAGGAGGAGACATCGTGCTCTTTTCCACACCTTCCTGACATTCATCTATTCAGATCTGCAACAAACTACGGGAAACCCTGGACACCTAGGAAATGACCGTTTTCCCAACAATTGTTCTGTGTGACACTAAAGTCAATCCCCTTTCAGCCTGAACAGAGAGAGAATCACTCTCCACCTGCTTCTTTGTGTTCCGTGTTCTCCTCTACCAAGCCTCCTTCAGTCATGGCAGAAGGTCTTTACCCCATGCTGGCCTCCAGTGCTCCTCATGTGACTCTCTGGGTGGAAAGCACCGAACATGCTCACTTGTCAGCATGCTCTGGTCACTTGACAGAGGTTCCGAAGGCCTGAGTGCAGTAGGCATTCAGGGTGGATGACTGCTTGCCATGTGAGAATCAGCTTTTCTGAGCTCAGGGAATCACAGCCACATCTCTGGGACATTTTGAGCAGCCATCTTCCCTACCCACTTAGAGTGATCAAGGGGCCCTCAGTTTATGCCTCGAATCTCCCATTCAAGACAGAAGTTAGGATGAAAATGATTGATAATGGTTTTCTTCTGATAGAGGAAGAGGTGAAGCCAGGCAGAGATGAAGTGCAGCATTTAATGTTTTCTCCTGAGCCATCGTGCTGGGGTCCCAGGAGGACCCACCCTTCCAACTTACCCAGAACACGACTGAATTTACCACTAAAAGTCCAACATCCTGGGAAAACCCTTAGACCAGTCAAATGAGTCACTTGTGGTCCCTGAACACTTT